GCCACAACATCCCATCAGGAGCCATCTAAATCAGCTCTCCAATCCATGTGCTTTCCCTGTTTCCTCTCATCCATCACCATCACCTGTTAGCTTCCTGATGGTCTCCCTGTTTCCACGTTTGCACTCCTCCAGGCTGCACTCCACATGCAGCCATATTTCAAAATGGGTGTTTGATTATTATTTCAAGATAAATGCCAGATTCCTTAATGTGGCCCAGGAGGACACTGACTCTTGTCTGCCTTTCCACCTTCATGGCTCATCAGTCCCAGCTCAAACACCAAGGTCCAACCATCTCACTTTTGTGCACTTCCTTGGATGTTTGTGCTGTCTGTAGACTGGGGACTTTTCCTTGGCCCTTTTCCACTTGCCTGAATATTTCTCCATCCCTCTTCCCCTGGGATGACTCATTCTTCAGGTCCCTGTGGAGACATCACTTTTCTAGGAAGCTTTCTCAGATCCCCAAGTCTGGCTTAGATGCCCCTCATCACAGCCCGTTTGAGACTGTGCTTCGCTTACTGTTTATTTGCCTTTCACCTCCCTCTGAACTGTAATTACACTGAAGGCAGAGATCCTGGCATCTAGGTCATTTAATTCTCAGGGCCTAGCATCAAGTCGGGTATGTAATAGATGTGCGATAAACATTGAGTAACTGCTTGGATGAATAAATAAAAGAATTGAACTGGTGGAAATAAATGAAGACAAACCAAATGAGAACAAGCAAAGGCTATTTATTCTGAGCTTGCTACAGCAAAGGAGTCAGCCACCATCACTTGTGTTTGGNGAGACTGTGCTTCGCTTACTGTTTATTTGCCTTTCACCTCCCTCTGATCTGTAATTACACTGAAGGCAGAGATCCTGGCATCTAGGTCATTTAATTCTCAGGGCCTAGCATCGAGTCGGGTATGTAATAGATGTGCGATAAACATTGAGTAACTGCTTGGATGAATAAATAAAAGAATTGAACTGGTGGAAATAAATGAAGACAAACCAAATGAGAACAAGCAAAGGCTATTTATTCTGAGCTTGCTACAGCAAAGGAGTCAGCCACCATCACTTGTGTTTGGAGGAGTGGGAGAGCTTTGTAGTGGAAAAGGAGGAAGACTTTGGGTATGTCCTGATTGGAGGCTGTTGGCCTAGGGAAGCCATAGGTGGGTGCCTAGAAGTAGGCATTGTATGTGGTTGGTTAGGGTACACATTTGGCTTTTTCTGGTTGGTCTTAAGTTGAAAGTGGGGCAAAAATTAGGGAAGCTGTTAGTTATTAATCAAGTCCTGGCCATCTGGGGACAATCATTACTGGACTGGTTACTACATATTGCTAACTGACTTTCTATAAGTCTGATTTATAGGTAACTGGCTGGCTTCCTGGGCTAGTTGCTATAGATAATGGGTTGGTTTCATGGGCTAATTGATGCATATTGTAGGCCAGAGTTCTGTTTTTTTTTTTTTACATGGTCTGGCCATTGTCTGTTTGTATATTCAGTCTGTCAAACTAATATTTATTGAGTATCTACTGTACATCATGCTCTTGTTAGGTGTTGTACATGCAGTAACTCATTTATTTCTCACAATACTTCTGTGGGGTAGGTATTACCATTGCTGCTTAATAACCTTGACCATTTCCTCCTTTGAAGCTCATGCTGTCTGCATTTCCTGTCTTCTGGCCCTCCTTGATGTCTTTAAGTCACCCTTGAAAACTCACTGAAGACTGGGGCTCCGAGATTCTCCTCCAGCCTAAGGTTGCCATCTTCTCCAGCATGTCATTATCCTTTCTCGGTTCCTTCCCACAACATGAGACTCCCAGTTCTTAATTTCTTCATGTTTGGTTACCTTCACCTCCAGAACACTTGACTCATCCACTGTTTGGTCATCAAGCACAACCTGCGTTTGTCATCAACAGGAAAGGCCTCACCCTTGATATATAAACCCTATCATCTGTGGTGTGATTGAAATAATCTCTCACCCTTTCAGCTTTCCTAAGCAGTTATTAATTCTGGGTGAGGGAGTTAGGTAGATTTCAGAATACTTTTTTGGTATTTTCTAATATGTCTAAGTGTATAACATTAATAATAGTTTTAAAACCCCTCTAACCATTATTTTTTAATCTTTAAAAGTAAGCGTCCCCTTCCTGCACACCCATCACTCTCTCTCCCACTAGAGAGAACATGGAAAGGAAGAAGTCCTGAGAGCATTATGTAGTCAGACTGCAATTAGATCCTATGATGATGAAGTTCCTTTAAAATGAAGTTACTGTGTTGTTTTGGAAGATCTCCAAAAATCACACAAACACAGTTGATGTACATGAAGTCTGAGTGGCCATGCTCCAATACGGAGTATGAAGGTTAATTTTAAGTGTCAACTCGGCTAGGCTATGGTACCCAGTTGTTTGGTCAAACATCAGTCTAGAAGTTTCTGTGAAGGTATTTTTTAGGTGAGATTAACATTTAAATCAGTACACTTTGATTAAGCAGATTACCCTCTATAATGTGAATGGGCCTCATGTAATCAGTTGAGGGCCTGAAGGGAAAAGACTGAGGTTCCCTGAGGTAGAAGGAATTCTGCCTCCAGGCTCAAGACTGTAATAGCAACTCTTCCCTGGCCTGCTGACCTGCGCTGCAGATTTTTGAACTTACCAGCCCTCATAATTGCATAAGCCAGTTTCTTAAAATCTCTGTCTGTTCATCTATCCATCCATCCATCCATCCACACATCCTATTGGTTCTGATTCACTGGAGAACCCTGACTAATACAGCAAAGGCCAGATGTGCAGAAAAAGCTTTCCCTCCACAGCATAAGTGAAGGTAAACAGGACCAGTCCCTCTAAACCGCTCCCACCTCCTTCTCTAGCCACCAGTCTTCTGCTCCTCGGATTCCTCTTTGTTAGATCAGGCCTAGGATCTGATAGCACTCATTTACACATCATTTATGATGGAGGGATTATACTTTAGCAGGTGATTTTCAGCCAGTTTGTGATGTCATTTACATTTTAAGCTTTTTGTTTCCAAGTTGAATAAGGAAGAGCCTTAACACTGGCTTCTAACAAAGAATGTTCCCCTAACAGCTGAAGAGATGTGTTTATCATAAGGCATCCTGAAAGTAAGTCTGTGTTAAGCCTCCAGAGTGAGGGCAGAGCCAGGTTTTGTGGAGCCTGAGGCTCATACAATTTGGAGGACTCTCTTTAGGAAAAAGAATGCAAAAAAAATCTTACTTTTGCAAATTTTCAGTGATATGTGATCTTGTGAACTCCTTGCTAAGATCCCTCCCAGGGCCTTAGACAAGACATGTAAACTGAGGGGCCTTGAAGCTTAAGCTTTATTAGTCTCAGGGTGAATCTGGCTCTGCTTCTGGGTTTTTGGGGTGGGGACAGAAAGAAGGGTACTGGTCTTTCCGCAGGTTGTTTCCTTCTCTGCTGGTGAGGAAAGTTGGGATGGGCCTGGTTCCAGCTGCTTGAGGAAGACAAATTTCCCTTCCTCTGAGATCTAGTGTCTCCCTCCTCTCCAAGCCCTGCCAGTGTAAGTTGTTAGGCCCCTGGCCCTTCTCTACTCCTTTCCTCGCTCCCCTCCCTAATATTAACCCATTGTCCCAAAGTCTCCAGGGCCTACTTTCTATGTTCCTGTGCACTGCTTCTTTAGAGCGTGTCCAGTGGTATTTTCAAATGACAGTGTGTGCAGGCTCTCTTGTCTGCCATCCTGCAAACCTCTCTGTGCATCTTGAAGCTTTTCAGTCTTTGAGGAGAGCATTTCTGGCTGCATGGGGGGTGGAGTGATTGCAGCAGCTTCACAATGGATACCTTTCTCTGTGGTCCTTTCTCCACATCTGTGGCGGGCATCTCCTTCCTTCTTCCTGTCTCTTCGGGCTTCCAGATGCTGGGTCTATCCATCTCACTTAAGCTGTCTCGTGGTATTAGAGGCAATGGCTCTCTAATTCTGCCCAGAGATAAGTAATTTTTATATAGTTTGTTTTCGTATATTTCACTGAATACATGAATTTACTAGCACCTCATTCTGGCAGAAGTCCAATGACTAGCTGAAAATGGCTGCACATCCCAGCGGGCTGCCATTCTCAGGTTTTCTCCACTCTGAGTTGCCGCATCTTCAGAGCCACTGAGATCATTTGCACCCCTCATTTTGTGGCAGTTCTTTCCCCTCTGCTCCCAGCAATTGAGACCTGGGCCTTTTCTTTGGTTTTCCTTCAGATTCACTCACACAAGACATATACACATGTAGTAGACTTTACCAAAAGAGTTGGAACCATAGAGTTGTTCTGTGTCACAGCAAAAAAAAAGAGGACACTTTAAATTTTACGTAAATCATCCTCATTTCATACAACCACCTTTGGGAATTCCTCCCTGCCCCCTTTCTCCCCAGACTTAAGTCCCTGCTAAATTGATCGCCCCCACCCCAATCTCCTCATCTCTACTCTCTGAGAGGTGGAAGTAGCCTTATTCCGTTGCAGTTTACACACATACACACGTGTACACGCATTCTTCATCCTGCTATACTTAGTGTGAATAAAAAACAGAGAAATGAAGGAAACAGAAGACCTCACCATTATGCAAAAATAGACCCCTCTCTTCACACACTGCAACACGTTTGCCAGCTGCAGGTGCACACAAGCACACACTAATTCTGCCCTGCCTAGGACAGATACAACCTTCTCTGAGTCTCCACCAATCCTCCTTCATCTCACTCTATTTCCTCATTTCATTTCCTCCTCTTGGATCCCAAAAGCTGTCAGAGAAAAGCACTATTTGTTCTCACCTCATCTGTGTGTGTGGCCAAGAACCATAATGAATAAAGAGACGGGAGAGAGACAGACCTGGAGAGAACAGAGTAATATACAAGAAGTCATCCTAGGAGCTGGAAGGTTTATTTGGGAACAAGGAAGATGGTTCTTGGGATGGAGAGCCATACTGGATTTCAGGACATTTCCATGCTGGGCGTGCAGTGGGCACCCTTGAAACTCTTATTACAAATGGCATAAAACAAAGACAGTTTCTGTACCTAGACAACTCCATCCTGCAGCAAGGCATCTTCCCTGAGCTTCTCCAGCTCTTCACCACTGGAATCTGTGGGGCACTCCTGGTACCTGGCACCTGGGGCCTCTGTCCAGGAGGAGCAGTGATGGTGCCAGAGGCTGCAGAGACCATAGACAGCAGCCAGCACGGCAGCCCCTAAGCCCAGGTGCCAGCAGAAGAAGATGGTGAGGAAGGCGAGGTCCACGGGGCTGTCTGCCCGCCAGGGCTGTCCGGAGGGAGGGGCGTACAACAGCATGGAGAGCTGCAGCATCCAGGAGCCAAGCACCAGCCCCATCCAGGTCTTGAGCACCCAGAGTGGGGGCTGGTCAGGGACCCAGACCTCAATGGTGAGCACCAGGGCAACCAGGAAGGTGGGCACCAGGAACAGGACATGCACTCGGATCTCCAGGATGCTCTTGTTCTCCAGGTGGTTTGCAAACAGCAACACCATCATGTAGAAGGCCAGGGCCTCAGCTGCCCGCTCCAGCTTCACGTTCTGCCGTGACCAACATGACTGGCTCATGATGTCCACGACGCCACTGAGCAGGAAGAACCCGTATATAGTGACGTGATGCCAGCTGTTCTTGAACATGAATGGCTGCCGAGGGTCATCCCAGTCTATTAACATCAGCCGGTTTACTCCTGGGGGGTAGAAGAACTCGGAGAGGATGCCAGTCAGGGTGACGAACACCTTTATCACTCCTTCCAGTGGTACCCGCTGCCACAACTTGTGTCCTCGCTTCTCCCTTGGGGGCAGAGGGAGTTTGAGGACCCTCTGTTCCCGCAGCAGGGCCAGGGACACCAGCACCGAATAGTAGAGTGCGTAGAAGAGGAGGAACGCTGCTGCCAGCAGGTGTCCCTCCAAGGTTCCCATGGCTTTAGTGTGTGTGTCAGGACCACCTGGGTGAGAGCTGGCCGATAGCACAACCTCCTGGGCCGTCTTCACAAGCAAGAGTGGCTGCCTCCGAGCCACAGGGAGATCACCCTGAAGATGCTCCACCCCTGCCTCCCACACACAGAGGAAAATGTCTTCACTGCCAACACCTGAACCACTCCCCAGCGTGGGACCTTGTGAACAGGTGTGGCACTTCAGTCACCTCCTCACTCTCTTCCTTCCTTCCTTTCTGATTTCTTCTTTTGGAATGGGAATGTCTACCCTATACCTATCTTGCCACTGTATCTTGGAAGCACACAATTTATGTGGTTTCACAGGTTTACAGCTGGAGAGGAATTTTGCCTCAGTATGAACCATAATCTGGATCTCACCCATATCTGATTTAGGTAATATTTACATGTAACTTCGGACTTTAGATTTTAGAATTGATGTTGGAATGAGTTAAGACTTTTGGGGCTGTTGGAATGGTGACTGTATTTTACATGTGAGAAGGACATGAATTGTGGGGGTCCTGGGGTGGAATATGAGGAACTGAATGTTTCTATGCCCCCTAAATGTATATGTTGAAGCTGTTACCCCCAATGTGATGGTATTTGGAGGTGGGGCCTTTGGTAGGCAATTAGGTTTAGATGAGATCATGAGGATGGGACTCATGATGTGATTAGTGCCCTCATAAGAAGAGGAAGAGAGAGAGAGACTCTCCATGAGCACGCACTGAGGAAAGGCCATGTGAGAACACAGTGAGAAGATGGCCATCTGCAACCTGGAAAAAGGCCCTCACCATAACCCGTCCATACTGGTACCCTGATCTCAGACTTCCAGCCTCCAGGACTATAAGAAATGAACATCTGTTGCTTAAGGCACCCAGTCTTTGGTATTTTGTTATAGCAGCTCAAACTGATGAAGACAGAAATTTGGTGCTGTGAATTGGGGTGCTGCTGTAACAAATACCTAAAAATATGAAAGCAGCATTGGAACTGGGCAATGGATAGAGGCTGGAAGAATTTTGAGGTTCATGCTAGAAAAAGCCAAGATTGCCATAAACTGAGTTTAAAGGTGATTCTGGTGAAGGCTCAGAAAGAAGAGGATAACTGTCAAGCAAGCTTCCATCTTCTTAGAGGACACATAAATAATTATGAACAGAATATTGTTAGAAATATGGATGTAAAGGCCATTCAGGTGAGGTCTGAAATGTAAATGAAGGGTGGAACCACTGCTCCAGTGGGTCTGAAGGGCAGAGCATCTAACTAAAGAGCCTTAGAATCTAATGATATTTGCCCTAGATTTTGGACCTGTTTGGGGACATGTCACCCCTTTCTTCCTTCTGAAGAAGAGGAAGGGAGACCAGAGTTCTCTCTCTCCACCATGAGAGGACACAGTGAGAAGACGGCCAGGAAGAGGGCCCTCACTGGGAACCGAATCTGCCAGATCTTGATTTTGGACTTCCCAGCCTCCAGAACTGTGAGAACTAAATGTCTGTCCTTTAATCCACCCAGTCTATGATATTTTGTTATGGCAGCCTGAGCTGACTATTATGTTGACCTATCGATTATTTGAGTGTGTTATTTAATTTCCACAAATTTATGGTTTTTTCAGTTTTCCTTCTGTTATTGATTTCTGACTTCATCCCATCATGGTTGGAGAAGACACTTTGTATGGCATCTATCTTTGGTTTGCAACTTTACGTTTTATTTTCTACTCAATTTAAGAGACTGATGCAGCAAAAAATTAGTGGTCTATGTTTTTGGACACACAATGCATAAACATCTAATTTTGTGACATCAATAACAGAAAGGGGGTGGGAATGGAGCTGTATAGAAGCTGAATATTTGTATGTAATTAAAGCTGGTATAAATTCAAATTAGAGTGTTGTGACTTGATTTGTGACCTAATATATGCTCTATCCTGGAGAATGTTCCATCTGCACTCAAGGATAATATATATATTCTGTCATAGTTGGGCATTGTTCCATGTATGTCTGTTAGATATGGCTGGTTTATTGTTTTGTTTAAGTACTCTATTTTCTTACTTATCTTCTGTCTGGTTTTTATATCTATTCTTGAGGGTGGGGTATTGAGTCTCCAATTACTATTGTAGGATTGTCTGTTTCTCCTTTCAATTCTGTCAGTTTTTGCTTCAAACATTTTGAAGATTTGTTATTAGTTGCATTACTGTTTTTAATTGTTATATCTTTTTGCTGCATCAAAACTTTTATTACTATATAATGTTCTTCTTTGTCTCTTGTAAGCTTTTTTTATTTAAAGTTTGTTTTTTTTCTTTCTGATACTAGTATAGCTGCCCCTGCTCAATTTTGGTTATGATTTATATGGAATATCTTTTTCTGTCCTTTCACTTTCAACCTATTTGCATCTTTGGGTCTAACATGAGTTTCTTGTAGACAGAATACAGTTGGATCATGTTTTTTTTTTTTTTTTTTTTTTGTAAATCCATTCTGCCAATCTCTGTCTTCTTATGGAGGAAGTTTAATTCATTAACATTTAAAGTAATTACTGAAGGCTGGTCTGAGTGTAGTGATGTTTGCAACTAATTGATCAAAACCAGTTACAGACTTTGTTCCTTCTCCATTCCCACTGCTTCACTTGACTAGCCTTTTAAAAAATGAGTAATTACTGATAAAGAGACTTGCTTTTGCTATGTGTTTTATATATGCCTTATAGCTTTTTTGTCTCTCATTCTCAGCATTACTGTTTTCTTTTGAGTTGTTTTTTTTTTTTTTTTTTTTTTTTTTTGTAAATCCATTCTGCCAATCTCTGTCTTCTTATGGAGGAAGTTTAATTCATTAACATTTAAAGTAATTACTGAAGGCTGGTCTGAGTGTAGTGATGTTTGCAACTAATTGATCAAAACCAGTTACAGACTTTGTTCCTTCTCCATTCCCACTGCTTCACTTGACTAGCCTTTTAAAAAATGAGTAATTACTGATAAAGAGACTTGCTTTTGCTATGTGTTTTATATATGCCTTATAGCTTTTTTGTCTCTCATTCTCAGCATTACTGTTTTCTTTTGAGTTGAGGTGTTTTTTTTTTTTTTTTCTTTTTGTACTGAAATGCTTTAATTCTCATCTCATTTCCTTTTGCATATATTTTATGGCTATTTTCTTTGTGGTACCCTAGGGATTTTATTTAACATCCTAAAGTTACAACACTCTAATTTGAATTTATACCAGCTTTAATTACATACAAAAATTCAGCTTCTATACAGCTCCATTCCCACCCCCTTTCTGTTATTGATGTCACAAAATTAGATGTTTATGCATTGTGTGTCCAAAAGCATAGACCACTAATTTTTTGCTGCATCAGTCTCTTAAATTGAGTAGAAATAAAACATAGAGTTGCAAACCAAAGTTACAATAATACTAGCTTTTAGACAAATAATTATTTTTAAAAAGTTATTAGTTTCTTAAATCATGTAAAAAATGAAAAGTGGAATTATAAACTGAAGTTACAATAATAATAGTTTTATAATTCCCCCTGTATTTACTTTTACTAAGATCTTTATTTCTTCATACATTTCATGTTACTGTCTAGTGGCCTTTCATTTTAACCTGTGGGATTCCCTTGAGCATTTCTTGCAGGTCAGGCCTAGTAGTAATGAACTTTCTCAATTTTTGTTTATTTGGGAATGTTTTAGTTTCTTCCTCATTACAAAAGCATAGCTTTTCTGGCTACAGGATTCTTGGTTGAGGGTTTTTGTTTTTCCTTTTGACACTTTGAATATATCAGCCCATTGCCTTCTGGCCTTCAAAGTTTCTGATGAGTAATTTGCTAGTAATCTTATTGAGATTTCCTTGTACATGACAAATTGCTTCTATCTTGCTGCTTTTGTCTCTCTTTTTTCTCTCAACAGGTTGGTTATAATGTGTCTTGATGTGGGTCTCTTTGGTTCATCCTATTTGGAATTCATTGGATTTCTTAGATATTTATATTCATGTCTTTCATCAAACTTGGAAATTTTTTAGCTATTATTTTTTCAAGTAACCTCTCTGTCCCTCTCTCTCTTCTCCACTGGCTGTGGCAAGTGGTTCTGATTAACACAAAGAAATAGAATCACTGCTACACAAGAATGTGGGGAGGAAGAGGTATGGTTGAAATCCATGTGCTTTACCAGGTTACCTTCTTAGGCTATGTGTCCAGTGGTAGCTAAAAGAAGATACTTCCATAATCCTATGTAGGCAAGACCAACAAAGTGTATTTGATTTACTTATTCATTCAACAGTGAATACTTCCAAGTATGAGGCATTTTTCTAGGCCCTGATGATACAATGATAAAGAAGAGAGACAAGAAACAAATAAATACACAAGTAAACAATAAAAATGGTAGATACTGATAAATCGTAACCCCACTACCACCCCAAGTCCCCAAACATTAAGGCTATTGTAATAGTGCTGTTTCAGATTGAACAATCAGAGAAGACTTCTAAGGAAGTAGCACTTAAACCAACATCAAATTAGGGGCCAGCCATGTAATGTGTGACTGAATGTTTGGATAACTCCACCACGTAAAGACCAAAGGAGAAGCTGAATGAAAGCAAAGAAAATGATAATCCCACTTCCCCATTGATGATGTATGCTGCTCCCTATATTTCCAGTGTCTTAGTCCATTTCATGCTGCTATAATGCAATACCTGAGACTGGATAATTTTTAAAGAACAAAAATTTATTTATCACAGTTTTGGAGGCTGGGAAGTACAAGATCAAGGTACTGGCATCTGATGAGGGCCTTCTTGCTGCATCCTCACATAGTGAAAGGCAGAAAGGCAAACAAGCAATGAACATTGTATCCCCACACGGTGGAAAGGCAGAAAGGCAAGAGAAAATGAAATCCCTCTGTTAAGCCCCTTTTGAAGGGCATCTAGTCCCATTCATGAGGGAGGAGCCTTTGTGGTCTAATAACCTCTTAGGCTCCACCTCTTGATACTATCATACTGGCAATAGCTGAGTTTTGGAGGGGACACATTC